AAAATTAATTATTTTAAATCAAAAGAGTGGCGTCTAACAAAAGGGGCTTTAATGTAATGATCATTACTCCACCACCCCTACAAGTCATTTAACGTAATCTAACGTACTAATAATTAATTAAATAGATTATGTGTTATTTTCTCACCACCCTTTTCGTATCTTGAAATTAATGCAGTTTTAATTATAGTTTTCTCTTTAAAATATTTGATAAAAAGAGATAGAGAGAAACACCTGACCTTCGAAGGTTAACGATCATATATTAATTCGTAAGATGTATTCCTCAATCCGAATGATAAGATTTGAATCCCTCACCCCTAATCCCCTAATTTTGTTAAACAAAATTAAAGACAGAGAAAATGGAAATACGCCACCCACTTGCTTTATTTCGAATCAGAACCAGCTATGAAACATTTTGCTGCGGGTTAATTACTTATATCATTTGTTTAAGTTCAGATGTTGGGATTGAGTTTTAGCCATTTAGGACAAACTAGAACAATTGAACTCAAGATGCATCTGGGTGTTTTTTCATCTGATAGTTATAAATTATGTTATAGGTATATTTTAGTCCAAAAGTTGAGCTGAATTTTCCACTCTCAAAAGTTATAATATATTTAAAAAAAAAAAAACCAACGAATTTGTTGGTTCGAGTGGAATGAATTCGATTTTTTTAAATAAAATCTCGAATTTGAATATTATGAACAAAAAATAAACGTTGGGAGAGTTTTCTCAAATGAGATCCAACGTGATTTAATTTCAAGTTAATCAGAATTTAATATGATTACCAAAAATCAAGAAGTTAATACAGAAAAAAAAAAAAAAAACAATTGAACTTAGACCGAAATTTTTTTTTTTTTAAACAAATGAACTCAGAAACAAAATATCTTCGAGGCAACATTTATTGTAGTAGTAAGAAATATCGGTTACAAGTAGTAAGCTTTTAAATTGGTGGGTTATGGTGACTTTTTAAATGGTTAATATGATATTTTTTAATATAATTATTCATTATATTTTTATATTATATTTTTTAAAAATTTTATATATTTTAATATTTTAATAAATTAAAGAGTATAATAATTAATTAAAATAAATAAAATATGACATTAATAATTTAGGCATAACAATAATATCACCCCTTTATGGTAGTATATATTTTTTTTGGCAACTAACTTTTATGGTATAAAACTAAAGAGAAAAGATATAGCTAAGAGTATGAATTTTGTTTTTGTTTATTTTAAAAAATAAATTTCTAAAAGTTTTTAAATTAAGTAAAATTTTTTTCCTAAAGAATAAAAATTGTAATTTTTTATTTAAACAAATAAATTTTATCTTATTCTAATTAAGATTATTGTTTGTTATGTTATCATTGTGATTTAATAAATCTTAAAATGAAAAAATACAAAATTTATATCTTTATTTATAAATAGAGTTAAGAGTTAAAATCTATTTACAACACATCACTTATATAAAACGTTTAACATTTATCTTTTTTAGTATATGCTTAAAATTTATTTCTTTTTTATTCTATTTTTCTAAAAATAATTATTTTTTTATCTAAAATTTATAATAAATCTCAATTATTTATAGTAAAAACAAATAAATTATTAAAA